CAGAGATGGGTTTGTGGTTAACCATTTAGAACCATTTCTATTGATGCCCTTTTACCCTACTCTTCAAACACAATCTAATTATCTTCAGTTTCATATATTGTGTTCCTATCAAGCTATTTTTAAACAAAAGCAGCACTAATGATGTTGTGCTCTGAACATATGTCAAAACAAAACCAAATGGTGGCAGTTTATATTTTTAATCAGTTGACAAGTGGTCAGAAAAAATAGAGATTTGGTTAAATATTAGCCATTAAAATATTAGCCATTTTCTTTCTGCCTTAGACCAGCAACCAAACAGCTTCAATAGGTGGCTGCCTATTTTTCAAGTGAAATATGATAAGTCAAGATATGGGTATGCATATCCAAAGATCAGACTAAGGCCCTGATAGTATGTGTGATCAAAAGACTTTCCTCTTCTACTAGTAAGACAAAATCCAGAATGTTTGGGAGAAATGGCTAGATTTTTAAAGGCAATCTGTAATGGCTGAATCTTTTATTTTGTCTCTTGAATCATGCAGCAGTTTGTGAGAGTCAAACATTTAAGAGCTGACTGAAAATAAATGAAATGTGAGCGCATTTCAGTGGAAGTAGGCCAGTTGCTAACATTCTCTTCCATTTCTGAAAGTTAAATTTCATTATTTAATTGGATAAAAATCAAGGATAATATTCATAGTAAGGGGGAATTTCCATACAAGGTCATGTGATATGAGAAGGTGGAAAAATGGTCTCATGGCCTTTTTGGTTGTGAATTCTGTCATTTTTTAAATGTCGAAATAACCCATTCCTCTGAGTGGTACTGGTGGTAAACTTCTTGAACACTTCATATTCAGGTACCATGTCTTTGAGAACATGGTTCTTGGATCAGTGTGCAGCTTCCACAGCATTGCGCCGGGCTTCTGCTACAGCCAGGCATGTTTTCTGTGGCTGAATTAGGCCTGGAGAATGTTGCATCTCAAAACCTGCTTTCCAGCGTGCATTTGTAGAGCCTAAATTATCATCCCTCTGTAGACTCAAGAGTTTCTACAAGGGATGGAGGAATCTAACTTTTAAATGCCATAAAATATTGGAAGGCTTAGGGAGAAAATAGTACAAGAAAACAAGTTTGGGCTTGTACTATGTGGTTTTATATGGAAGCTTTCTGTTGTTATTCCTATATTAACAATTACATTTTAACTACTTCAAAACAACTATTCATTTTAGTTATTCAGTTTAGTCACTGGGTTCCTTAATGTGGTAAATTTCATTTCAGGTTTCTTTGCTTTTTTTTAATGTCATTATAGTTTCACAGCTATGGCAATATAAAGAAAGTAAGTTATTCTTTATACTTAATTATCAGTTATTTGCTTTTAAATCAGTTACATGCTTTTATATAAATTTGGGAGTCATTTTTGGTGTGGCTGTAATAAGATTATAACAAACTACCATCTACTAGAGTATGAATGCTAAAATGTTCATGGTTAGATTATACAAATATGTGGAATTAGTATAGATTGCTATTACATCAATGTTAAGAATGAAAAATGCTTAATTAATTTCAAATTAGTAACTTAAATATACAACAGTAAACTTTTATGTATGTAGTGATTAAAGGATAGCAAGCAGTATATTGGTCAATTTAATGTAACTTAATAAGAACTCAATTCAAGCTTTAATTTATTAATGCAGGTAAACTCACCACTTTTGTTATTTTAAAATTGTTTAGTATTTTTATAATTTCATAGATTAAATATATATACTTCCCCTCATAAAAATGCAGCCTTGCCGGGCATGATGGTTCAACCCCATCATCCCAGCAGCTCAGGAGGATGAGGCAAGAGGATTACAAATTCAAAGCCAGCCTCAGCAAAAAGCAAGGCTCTAAGCAACTCATTGAGACCCAGTCTCTAAAGGGCTGGGAATGTGGCTCAGTAGCCCAGTGCTCCTGAGTTCAATCTCCGGTACCCACCCCCTTGATGTAGCCTTGGAGTTGAGAAAACAATGTAATAGCATTTCTGAGAGGAAAACATCACTGAGCCTAATTGTCCATCTTAGAAGAGTTGACTCTATGTCAACCTTTATGGGGAAGGAAGCCTCACATGAACCCTTGCTAGGGAAATGACCTCTTGTCTACTATTTTCCAGCCTTTAGTTCAATATCCCCTTACCCCCCACTCTCCTGCCACCAAACTTTCTTTGGAAAGACTTCGAGAGCCTAAGTTTAAAAAACTATACTTATAATTAGGAGGGGGAAACAACACCTCCTGGATGACAGCAAAATGATTCATGGTATAAATGGGTTCTGCTTCTTGGAGAAGAGCAGAATGGGGGCAAAATCTTTTTCAAAAGACATGTTGTGCCTCATAATGAGAGGCAAATAGAAGTGAATTAACTGAAAACCATTCCTCTCTACTTTACGATGTCTGAATACATAACCTCCAAAGCTATTTAGAATATCAAGATTATTTACATCCAAATATATTAGCCACATTCACAAAGGTTTAAAATCTACAGACTATCAATAACAAAATACATTCAGAGGTTCATCCTTGATAAACGGTTCAATCACATTCAAGTTAGTGGCTTTTGTTACTTGTGCTATGAAGCACTGTTTTAGATAATTATTTATATTTAAAATATAAGGTAACTGTAGACTATATGATAGACAATTATAATGTGAAAAATTAAACACTTCACCATTATATTGCCAGTTCTCTTACCAATTATATTATAAAAATGGAAAACGAAGGGTGAGTATATTTTTTGTATGAATATGCATATAATATTTACTACTATATTCCTTCTTTATTCTTTATTGAATGTCAAGGTTTTAGAGAATTTTGGAAATACGTTTTTAACATTAAAGTATTTTTAATTAAATAATTTCTATTCAATAGTAAATTTCATTTTCTAGTACAATTACATAGACTTCTCTTACGGCCATGACTGAGTTATACTTTATCAAAAAGGAGAGATGAAATTATCTAAACATTTTAGCTCTCTTCATAAAAGTAATATAAAAATGCATTCAGGCATTCATTTATTAACTCTTTGTGAACCTAGCATAAGTATTTGGTGTCTATTCTATTGGTGATATGCCAGATTTTTTGATATATAGTATGTGTGTGTACTTGGTATAAATATTTGGTCAAAGGCCTGAATTACAATGGACTACATGTACTGCAAAATTTAGCACAGATAAATCATACAAGAAAGAAAAACTTCAAGAAGGATGTGGACCATGACCAGGTTCAGAAGAAATTTTTGAGTTTGGATTAGCCCAGAGGAAGAAAATGAATCATGAACCTTTTTATAAATAGCTTCCAAATAACTTGATTTCTTACCGGTGTTATTTATTCAGCAGATATTATTGCTGTTGCTCCTCAAAAGCCAAAATGCCCAACCGATAAACTATCAGTGAAGTTGGGAGGGAAGTTAGTTACTGCAACCAAGAAATTATCCAGTATCTTCTTGATCACTCAGTGGTAACTACAACTATACCCAGTAGTAACTTTCCTAGGCCTTTCCTAGAAGAATAAAGATACTCTGGCTGTACAAAGCAGATAAATCCCAGGAGAATAAAGTAGGTCTTGACAGTCCCATGTTTCTAAAATGCAGAGGAATTTAATGGTAAAAAAAAATTTTTCATTTTATAACAATCCTAAGAACCATCAGTCAAAAATGATGACCTAACTTCTCCTTTTAGCATACTCCAGACTAGGAAGGACTATATTATGGAGTCATATGTTGATTTAAAAGTCATTTTCATAATATATTTACTTGGAAATGGTTATTGTCACCTTCAAAATCATACCACAGAAAGTATATCTGGGTGTTACCCTTCAACTTTGATTTGAAATAATAGACCACATTGGCATTATGTGTTAAATAAATCAGAATTTTGAGTCAGATTTTCTCCAGTATGACTTGTGTTTAGGGATTCATTTGGCCTTTTAAAAATAACACATTAACTCTTTCATAAGATTAGGACAGAGTGACCTAACAGTTAGCTGCTGAAGTTAGTTGGGGGCTTTGAAACCATTAACATATCCATGAGCTATTCTTTCATTTTAAAACCTTCTCATTTCCTCAGTTGGGCTGTGTGTCCTGTCTTTGTGCCAGTTTTTATAAAACATTGCACATTCATAATGTCTTCCCAAGTGATCTCAGAAAACATTAGGTATTTATTCTTGTCACATTAAAGTGACTCTTCTAGCCATTTGGCATGTCACAATGATTTATTTAAAGGAAAAATTCACAGCCTGATCAAATGTTGAATTCAAAGTGGACTTCTAATGAAAGTCTATACAGATCTTAGACAATACTATTTATGAAGAAATTTCCATTTAATTTAGAATTCTTTGGCAAGTGTTGAATTCATTTATGCAGAGAGAGAGAGAGAGAGAGAGAGAGAGAGAGAGAGAGAGATCCATCATTTTCTACTAGTAAAGTAAGGAGAAAATTATGTAAGCCAGAGAAAAATATAGCTCAAAGTTGAAATGTAATGACTGTGACTAATGTTAATGTGCTGCCCTTCCTTTCTAAAATTACAGAAACATGGACAGTACTGAAATTTTCCATCTAAAGAGGTGGAAGTTGTGATTTGATTTGACACATTTTAATTAATATAATCATTAGTAGATGTCAGTATACCAAACTTTTATCAAACTCTTCTTGGTTTGGCTACAGGATTAATGTTAGCAAGTAATGTAATGTGGCGTTTATATAAAAAGTGACATCAAAAAATAAGTTAATATTATCCTTCCTTACCAATTCATCCACATTAAAGCCTATGTCTTTCTTTCTCTCTTTCTGTCTTGCCTTTTGTCTGAATTAGGTCAGTAGTCACATTGTTTTGAATAGTAGGACTTCAATTATGTTAAACTATTTTTAAATAATTATCAGTAGTATTAGTAGAATCAAATGCAACCATTATCAGTTTTTGACACTCCAACAGAGCATTTACCAATTAGATGAATAAAAATGGAGAAAATTCATATCTTTGAAATTGGATTATGTTTCCAGAAATTAAATGCAACCAGCTCATCTGAAGGAAGCACAGTTGATGTTGCTCCACCCCGTGAAGGTGAACAGGCTGAAATTGAACCTGAGGAAGACCTTAAACCAGAAGCTTGTTTTACTGAAGGTAAACAAACTCTCAAGTCTCCCCTCCTTCCTTAGAGAGACTGAATATACCTCATTTGAAGGAGATCTTTTAAAGAAATATTGAAGTCATGTTCATCTCTGTTTTCCTCTTCCAAAAAAAAAAAAAAAAAAAGAAGAAGAAGTTCATCTGTCTATATTTCTATAGTATAGCAAAGACTATGCTGGAACAAATCAGAGGATGTGAAATGAGATTTTGTCATTATTGTTGTTCCCACACTCCAGAATGTAAGAAAGCTGGCCCTGTGAGATAAATGGAATTCTGCAATGTCATGTCACTGATATGGCAGTCCCTTCAGAATGCACTGGCAATGGCTAACTTATAGATGTCTCAGTAATCACATCTCATCCCCTATAGTTTCAAATGCATCAATTTGTGCTCTGACCAGAGCTGTTTGGGGATGTAGCTGTGTTTTAGAATCTGGGCAGGGTGAGCTATATTTGTTCCCACAGCAACCAGCGTAGTGTCTTGCATACAAATCAATACTTATTGATTTATTGTGATTGAATTTAATCTGATGAGTAGATGTCCAGAGCTAGAGCAGAACAGTGGGTAGAAGTTAGAAAAAATATGAAATCTAGGAAGCAGAAGACAAAGGAATAGAGATACTGACTGCCAAGATGAGTCCTAGGTGTGATGAAGAAAAGCACTGAGGCTGAAATTAAATTAGCTTGAGAAAACTGACAGGGGCTGATGCCTGGGAAGACAGTGGGATTTTCCATGCATGAAGAAACGGAGTGAATCCAGGATCACATGAAAATATGAATAAACATCTTTAATGTGTAGTTTTGCCCAATCTGAGAAATATACCAAAACCCTATTTCCCTCAGTGGCCTTAAGACAAAAAGATCATGTTGGGTATTGAAGAATGAAACCATTTTTAGTCAAGCAATATGGGTAAAGTTTTTTCTTGAATTCTAAGTAGCTATCTGAATATATAAGTCTATAAATGATTCATATACAAGGAGGGATGTTGACTGTTACTAGGAAATGAACTGAAACTGGGGTAGGGAGTGAGCAAAAAGTTTATTTGTTATTATTTAAGATTAAAATATATTTTTTACTTATTATGTTTAATGTTTTCTTTTAGGGTGTATTAAAAAGTTTCCCTTTTGTCAAGTAAGCACAGAAGAAGGCAAAGGAAAAATCTGGTGGAATCTTCGGAAAACCTGCTATAGCATTGTTGAGCACAACTGGTTTGAGACTTTCATTGTCTTCATGATACTTCTCAGTAGCGGTGCTTTGGTAAGTGAAAAGCATATTGGCAAGAATCAGCTTCTAGTAAATTTGCTTGTTTTCTAAAAATACTAGGAGCATAGACTATGTTCAAGAGTCAAAGGTGGAGGAATAGCTGTGCCTTGCAGACCTAGACACCCAGGGTTTAATTATGCAAAATTCCATTCAAAACAAATCAGAATCATGAATCAGTCAGATGAAATTTCTGCTCTGGTGTTTATCTAACAGATGTTTTCCTCACGGATAAACCATTTAGAGATATTCTGTTGCACACACCATCCAGTTATCCCTAATAATAATTTTAACATTAGGGACTAAGAGTATATTTGGCTTTCATTAGCGAATCAACTTATTCTTTCAATATAAGCTAGATTCTTTAGGGAATCATAAAAAGTAAAGTTGGAATAAGCCACCTCTGTCTCTTATTAACAGAACCTCAGGTTATTTTGTGAGTTCATGTTACTCACTAAAAGTATGTTTTTGTAGCAGTAATGGAAGTAGATCCTTTTGGTTTGAGAAGCAGAAATAAAAGCCCACATGAAATCATCTCAGTTAGTTTTACCTGTAAGAGTTTATCTGATGTTCAATGCTTTTGTGATGTTAGCCAATACAAATTATTGCTTCATACTAAATTATGCAATTTTGCAAGAATTTAAGGTAAAACAAAGTATTCTTGCTTCACAGGCTTTTGAAGATATATATATTGAACAGCGAAAGACTATCAAAACCATGCTAGAATACGCTGACAAGGTCTTTACTTATATATTCATTCTGGAAATGCTTCTCAAATGGGTAGCTTATGGATTTCAAACGTATTTCACTAACGCCTGGTGCTGGCTGGATTTCTTGATTGTTGATGTAAGTATCCTGAATGATTATTATGAAATTACTTTTAAAAGACTCAAGTTTGACATCACATATATTTCTAAGATTAAAACCTTGGCACTAAAAAACTATTTTCACTAATGCTGACATAATTGTACAGGGTTTTTAAAATTGTAACAAATTAAAAAACGAGGAATATCTTACAAATAAGAGTAGACGAAGTCCCCAAAATGTAGACAGTGGTAAGAAAAAAAAACAACAAAAAAAAAATACAGAGAAGGTTGTTATATACCACAAGATGATAGCTAGCTCTTTTTCCTTTTCTCCTGAAAGTTAAGGACCTCAAGATAAAGGACAGTTAAACAATCTGATAATTGACATCTAAGCACTTAGCTTATTAACAGCTCAATTAAAAAAAATCTCCAGGAGGCAAAGTCAAGACAGATTTGGGGACATTAATTGTGGGAATTGAGCTCTAAGCCCTTATTAGAGTACATGTGACTAGATAATGTTAAATTAACCCATTTACTGTCTCTTTTCAGCCACATACCCACGGAGACAACTAAATATGTTTCCATTTTTAAATCAGTAGTTGGATATACCAGTAGCTAATCAGATATTTACCATGCAAAGGGTTAGGTATGTGTCTGCTCTGAATCTGATTATGCTGGTGAGTCGTCATAGGAACATGGCAATTATAGAATCTACCTGATTTGCAACCTGTTTTTTTTTTTTTTTTTTAATTCCAAATGACAGAGAAGTGCTGGGTCAAAATGACAGTCATCTGCTTTTTTGTAGTCTGGGATATTCTATTGCACAGGCTTCACAGTCTACCAACAGAGCAAGGTGCCTCATGCACTATCTCTAGCTGTTTCCTAGCCATCCTAAAGCACTTTATTTTTAGCTCCAACACTTGCCAATATGAATCAATGCCTGCCATATGTGTGCATTCATTCTTTTTATCAGTTTTGACAAGTCTGGGTCTATCCGATTCTACTCTTTTCTCTCATACATATTACACTCATGATTATATAACCAAAATATATTTAACCCTTTGAGTTCATAAGAAATCAGCTGCCAAATCACTTTTAATGAAGCATAAATGACCTCCAATTTCTATATCTGGCCTTTCATAAATAATAGTGGTGAATCTAAATATTGTCTCAAAAAGTTGTCCATTAAGGAAAGTTCAATATTCTCGTATTTTGTAGCTAGAATGAATTTTAGAGTGTCTAGCCTTTATTCTAGATATCAGGAAACTGAAGCCTCAGTTTAAATAATTTTCCTGAAATAACACAACTGCTTAATAAAGCTGACCCTAGTGTCCATGTTTCCTAATTCTCAATTCAGCTTTCCTTTTTCTCCCATAGATTTCCAGTTTAACTGATCCACTGTAAACATTTTAGGCAAATACTGGGGGATGTGTGTGTGTGTGTGTGTGTGTGTGTGTGTGTGTGTGTGTGAGAGAGAGAGAGAGAGAGAGAGAGAGAGAATGATACTGGCTTTGGATGTAGCATGTATAATCATCTTCTCTCTGAAATAAGAGAATACCAAGTATGTTCAATAATCCCCTCTACTCAAAATTTTGTCATGTATGTAGATCATGTTTGAAGACTTCAAAATGTGATAGAATCTCTCAGAAAAAAGTAAACATAAAGGTTTTAAAAGTACAAGTACAATATCTTAAAATAGCTTCATAATCCATAGGTTACATTGTTGGAACTAAACCCAATAACCACAAAAAACTTAAATGAATCACTACCAACAACAAAAATTCCTTTAAATGCATAAAAAAAAAAAGCCAGGCACAGTGGTGCACGCCTATAATCCCAGTGGCTTGGAAGGCTGACACAGGAGGATCCCGAGTTCAAAGCCAGCCTCAGCAATGGTGAGGAACTAAGTAACTCAGTGAGATCCTGTCTCTTAATAAAATATAAAATAGGGTTGGGATGTGGCTCAGTGGCCAAGTGCCCAAGTTCAGTTCCCAGAATATAAAAAAAAGTATATATGTGTATATTATATATTATGTGTAATATATGATATACGTGTATATTATATATTATATATCACATATATAATATATTATATACACATATATAATATTTATATATTATATGCACTGTCTCTAGCTTGCATAACCAAAATATATTTAACCTTTGAGTTCATAAGAAATCAGCTTATTATATATAATATACACATGTTATATGTATATCATATATTATATATTATATATAACGTATATATGTGTGGTATATATATATATGTATATATGTATGTATATATATATTATATACTTGAGACAGGTATCTATGTAAACAATTTAACCTCTTTAATCCCCTACAAGGTAAAATTAGATTGCCGTATACTCTTTCTCATCTCCTAAAATTCATTCATGTGTTCAGTCGACATGACTGGTGCCTAATAATAAGCACCATATTCTTTTCCAGAGAGAGGAGATATGAAGATGATGGGGCAAGCTCTCTATTAGAACTTAGGCTCTATGGGGCAGAAAGTGGAGGAAGCAAAGAGCAAAAGTGTAAATAAATAAAACCTAAAAATTAGATTACTTGGCTGGGGTTGTGGCTCAGTGGTAAAAGTGTTCACCTAGCATGTGTGAGGCCTTGGGTTCAATCCTCAGCACCACATAAAAATAAATAAAATAAAGGTATTGTGTCCAACTACAACTAAAAAAATAGATTAAAAAAATTAGATTACTGCTAGAAATAAAATAGGGTGGTGGGATAGAAGGTGATCATAGTGTGGGGAACAGGAGGACAAAGTCAGATTTTGTCCACCAGATGTCTCTGAAGAGGAGTTAGGAAGAGGGGGCCATAAAATCCATTGGCTCTGGAGTGGGGAGGAGCTGATGATATTCAAGAGAGAGAAAGGAAACTGGTGTGCTTGTGTGTGATGAAACATGAGTGAAAGTCAAAGAAACTGAATTTGTTTTGGCCCTCCTATACAGAGAATGTAGATGAACTAGGACATCCAGAACCAAATCGTGGGGCACCTTAACACTTAGAAGTCAGGCAAAGAAGAAAGAGAGAGTAAATTCTACTGAGAAGTCGTACTTGAATGCATGGTGTCACAGAATCTCAGAGAAGATTTTATCAAAGGAAGGGAGAACTTGTTTTCAAAGGCTGCAGGAAGGTCACTTAGATTTGGCAAAAGGGAGAACATTGATTTTGTGGATGAGAGATGTTTCACAGAAGTGAAGGGAATAGAATGGTTGTTGGAAAGATAGAAGAGAAAATAGAGACGAAGGAGTGAATGACAAGTATAGTAAATCAGTTTGGAATCCAGAAGGACCTCAAAAGGACTCCATGCCTCTGCCATAATATCAAACTAGGTGGACTACTTTTACTGTGTCTGTATAATTCTTTTTTTATTATCCCCAAATCAAAAAGGTATTATTTTTATAAAACCACAAATATATTGAACTATTTTAGATTTCAGCAAACTATATACCATAGGTACTAGCCATAGAGTGAACTAAATACATGATTTAATTAATATTTATTTGAAATTGGTTGGAAGCAATCAAAATTCTTGTGATCCTTATCAAGTTTTGCTTAAGTGTCATTTTTCAGAAAACTAATCTGTGTATCACTCATAATAACTTTAAATTTAGTTTTTAAATTATCCTAAGATGCTGATGTATCCAAAACAAACTCCATACTCAACCAGAAGGAAATATTTATTGCACTCGGGGGTTCCACTTTATACGCAGCACAGCAGGGTGGTGTGGTAGACAAGAGATGCTTGGCTACAGGTTGCTGGGGAACTCTTCCCTGCCTGTTCAAGGGCTCCTTAGATTTCTGTCAGCTGTTCCGTTGATGTGAACAGCAGAAGAATAGGGACACTTTCTGATCCTAATGTGGATTTCCAGCTGTCAGCAACCTCTGGAATCTAGTGGTTCCTGCCTTAATTCTTGACATCCTGACATCCACAATAATGAAGCTAGACTGTTGTGGTAGTAGCACAATGTATTATCTAGAACTTTTTAAGCCCTTATTGTGGGAATGCTCTCATGAAGAGCCTTACATAATAATGATGAAAATCCCTAACCCTGATTTATTGCTGTATATAGGTGCTACTGAAAACACTTAACATATGCTAACTCATTTAATCTTCAGAGTTTTATGAAATGGAAACGGTAATTATTCTCATTTGCAAATGGGGAAGCTAAGGCAACGAAAAGTTAAGTTGCTTGTCCAAGTTAGTATATCTAGTGTTTATGCTGGAATTTGCACCAATTTGTAATTTGTCAAGTGCCTTGCCAGTATAGAACATTAGCTTCAAACTTTATGTATGCTGAAATCTTTAAACCTTTTGCAAGAATCTACCTCTGTTTCTAATAGATTTAAAATATCTCATTTCAAAATCGGCTTGATATTTTTACATTAGCTAACCCAATAATAAAATGAGTTTCTGTCTTACACAGATGACATTTGACTTAAGTCAAAAGGAAACCAGAAAAATTATTTACATTATTGGTAATATTACGATAATCTTATCCGAATGATTTACACAGAATATTTAAGCTACTTGATTAAATCAACCTATAATGAATATTCTGAGAATCAGACATTTCTTTTAAATTTCCTTTATTTTCCTAAATAAATCAAATATGCTACAAATCCCATCTCAGGTTTTCCAGGAAGTTCAATGTCATACAATTTTTTATTGTCTCACCTTTGTAACTTTCAGAAACTCTGGGACATTGTAGCCCAGGGAGAAAAAAAAGAGTAAGTTCTGCTGATCCTCATTATATAAGGTTGCTACTCTGGCACTTTGTTCTCTGAGCCATAAAGTCCATTAAAAGAAACACTGTTTTGGATGGGTGCATTGGTTCATATTTCATAATCCCAGCAATCTGGGAGGGCGGCTGAGGCAAGAGAATCTCAAATTCAAGGTCAGCCTCAGTGATTTAGCAAGATACTATCCAAATTAAAAAGAATTGGGGATGTAGATCAGTGGTAAAGCATCCCTGGGTTTAGTCCTCAGTATACAGAAAGAAGGAGGAAAAGGAGAAATGTTTCATCAGGCTCATACCTATAAACCTAGTTTCTCTGGAGTCTGATGGCAAGAGGATCCCAAGTTCAAAGTCAACCTGGGCAAATAAGCGAAACACCATCTCAAAAGAAATAATAAAAAGGGAGTTGTAGCTCAGTGGTAGAACACTCCTGGGTTCAATGCTTAGTACCAAAACAATACAAAACAAAATAAAACTCCAAGGAGCACAGTTTTACTAATGTCCACCTTCCCTAACAGTTCCATTCCTGTATAGGGTAGTGAAATGCAAGTGGGACCTCCTAGCCTTTAAATGCCTGTCTTCCTATAGTTCCAGCACCCACTGGTTTGTACATGATCTTTTTTTTTCCTTTCAAAGCATGAGCTTTCTTACTTTAGAGTCTTGAGAAATTTGCAGCCACCTCCTTTCAAAAACTCTTATCTTAAATAAAGGACTTGGTTGGAAAAATGGAATAAGTCTTCAAACAGTACCTATAAGAATATAAAAACGCTGTTAATGTCTCCTGAAGCATAGTCTAAAACATAGAAACCTCTGAGTCCTTTAATAGCCTGTCCAATCTTTCCTGTCTTCTGTAGCAGCAAACCCAAGATAGAAATAATAGCTCCATAAATTATTCTGCCACTGATCAAGTTCAATATTTAAGTCATTTCTTATTCTGTTGAATTCTGTAAGATACGTTCTAAATTAAACCATGAAAAGAAAGTGGTTTCTTTTGCCTTTAAAAACCATATGCTAGTTTTAGTGTCACCCTTGATACCATGTGTCCTTGAGCAGACCCTTCCTTCCTTCCTTCCTTCCTTCCTTCCTCCTTCCTTCCTTCCTTCCTTCCTTCCTTCCTTCTTTCTTTCTTTCTGTGGATGGGTGGTGCTCAAATTACTAATGCAAAGGTGATACCTACTTCTTGGAATTTGTGCACGTAATCAAGAAATTATATTAAAACAAAAAAGTTCCCTTTCCTGAAAAGGACATGTCTTTTTATTTTTAATATTTCATATATTTAAGTGCAATTTAACAAATGTATAAATATCAGAAAGGTGTATGACCACTCTAAATAATAGATACTAATTCTCATCATAAGTATAATAGATAATTTGGATAGAATTTTTTCAGGTAAAAATTTCCCCTTATTTATTTATCCAATACATAACCACTAAAGTATGTTCAGTCAGAGAGTTTTAGGCATGTTAAGTAAAAAAGTGTTTCAACCCAGATAATAAAATGTTTGCATGAACTGCAAGGGAAGACAAGGTATCTAACCAATTGACTCTATTATATGTAAATACCTCTAGAATGCATAGTCAGATGCTACATAATTTGGGAGAGAAACATGATTGCTAATCAACAATACTAAGAACGCATCCATGGAAGATCTGGCTTTTAAACTAAGCCTTCAATAATCTTTGGCATATACATAGGTTGTAAGGGGATCTACAGTGTGACGTATCTAGCAGGAGGGGGTTACAAATGTTTGTAAGAGTAGGCAAATATTGCAGTTTCATTGATATTCAGTGGTTGGGGATGAGGCTGGTAGGTAAGATGATCCCACAGTGCAGAAGCAAAGGTTGCATGTCTAAACCTTCATTCAGCACGGCATCCTGTGCCTTTAGTCAATAGTTGATTTATTGGTGGACTAATTAATATATTTTTTTTCCTTTTGTAGGTTTCTTTGGTCAGTTTGGTAGCCACTGCTCTTGGCTACTCAGAACTTGGTGCCATCAAATCCCTCCGGACACTCAGAGCTTTAAGACCTCTAAGAGCCTTATCTCGATTTGAAGGAATGAGGGTAAGACTGGAAGCTCTTTAAGATTCATATCAAAATAACATGTAGTCAGTCATTTAGATTCAGATGACTACCATCCTCTTCTGATATTTACATCAGAGAATTACAAAACTTGACAGCATGAATCTTAGTGACCACTAAGTCTAACCTCTTGAAACGGAAGTTTAGTTTAGGCCTTTCAAAATTGTGATAGAATCCAGGTTTGGGATCACAGTTCAAGGATGTCGTTTCCACAACATCCAAAAACTTCGTGCTGCCAGTTATTTCTTTTCATTGCCTACACACTTTGAAATGACTGCTGACTGTTGACATTCATCCTATGAGGGTTTTTTGTTTTTGTTTTGTTTTTTGTTTTTTTAACCCTTCATAATATTTAAATTTGCTTCTTCAACAAGTACCGGTAAAGTTTTCTCTTCTTCTGGAGATAGCCTGTATTCTCCCTTGAATGTATACTCTTCACTTTCCCTCCAAAGGCCTCTGTCTCTTGAGATTGCCTCCATTCTTCCTTGAATATATATCTACTTTCCTAAATAAACTTCTGTCTGTGCCTTTGGAGGGGGCGGGAAAGGTACTGGTAAGGAATTAAAGGCAGAATGGTTTTTGTGTACTTTAACTCTTCAATCAACATTAGTAATAAAAATTGATGCTGGGCATGGTGGTGCATGTCTGTAATTCCAGTGACTCTGAAGGCAGAGACAGAAGGATGACAAGGTCAAGGTCAGTCTCAGCAATTTAGCAAGGGCTTTAGCAATTTAGTGAGACCCTGTCTCAAAAAAATAAACAAATAATTTTTTTTTAAAAGGAATTGAGGATGTTGTTCAGAGGTCAAACACCCTTAGGTTCAATTGCCAAAACCCCCCAAAATTGTTATACATCCAAGAAAACAACATAAATAGTAGGCTCCAACAAAATCTGTATATTCTGAGCACCAAAATAAGTTGTTAAGCTAATTTGCTAAGTATTTCAAACAACCCCAGGCTTTGTTTTATAGATCTCACTTTTAAGTAACATTTTCAATGAGGTTCACTTTTTCCATAGCACTTTCATTTTCCTTTCAGTTCTCTTCCTTAGTACTTTAGATATCGTGCATCTAAACATGACGTACACGCTTACCACACCCCACTCAGTACTCTTTGGCACAAAGGCCAGCTTTGTTTAATCTGGTTTGCAAATGCACACAGATATTAAATTTCTTCAAGGCCACAAGACTTTTATGTTAGGAGGTGGTTTATTTGGGGCAATAAAAATGCTTCAGCCTTGACTACAAAATTTATTCATCAGAGAGAATGAAACCACTCTGCAGAATCTCCAAAACCATTGTAAGCAAAAAACACTTGGTTTTTAATTTTATTTCATTGCTACTGTTAACAAATTCATAAATAATCATACAATTTCCCATTTCTCAAACAAATGTGTACTATTACTGATAAGAAAGACTTAGGCCCTCTTCTGTTTTCATATCAATAGTTCATTTCAGAAGGGAGGTGACAATTGAAAAAATTGAAAACAAATAAATATGCTGTAATATAAAAATCATTTCATTAACATTTTAATTCACTTATATGGAAGAATTACCATTCCAATATTCAAATAAACGTATAATAGTCTTTTTTAAGATAGTAGAATTTGTAGAGGCATGCAGGTTATTTTACATAAATTTTAGTAAGAAACGTAACATAGTATGCATAGTATATATGGCTTAATTTCGGAGAGAAATGAAATTCAATTAGTACAGGAAATTTTTACAATTTTACATTTCAGATTTTTATGTCAGTTTTAAATTCTTTGATATTTATGTCTAAAATGTCTATAGTATTTTAATCAAATAATAGCTTCATTCAATATAAATGCTAAACAAAAATAGTCCAATTTGAACTAGATTAAATTAGATAAGAAAAGTTACTTTTGAGTGCTGTAGAGATTTCAAAATATATCTTAACCTCTTCAGAATTTAACGAGGTGAAGGATAATTGAATTTACCTTTCACAAAATCAGTCAGCCTGGTCTGATGAAAAAGTTTGTGCCCTGAAGTGACCATTTAGAAGACCATGGAAGACTAATGGGGACATGTGTGCAATACGTTCATGTCTACAGATATCTCACCTCCTTTCCTAATTTGATATGTTTTTTAAATGGAGATTTGCCAATAGGAAATAAAAGGACCTTGTAAATTCCTAACTTTATTCTTCATAGTCATTAAATGTTACCTGATACGAGGATACAGATTTAAGACATGTTTATTTGTAAAGGGTTTGTTTGCTCATTTTTGTCCAAATCATTATTCAGTATTTAATATTCTGGATAATTAAAAATGTATTGCTAAAAGATGATTATTTCTTCTGTTGGCATTTAATGCACCTTTTCCTCCCTTTTTTCCCTACCACACATTTTATGACTCCATCTTACTGTATCGGATGTTTTGTTTGTTTCTTTTCATGTTTTGGTATAGTTTGCTTCCCTTAAATTCTTAGCCCTTCAGTTGTGTCACTGTTTTAAACCTAAAGTAATAATTCACCTAGGTTGTTACTTAACTCCTTTCAAAATATCCTATAATACTAAATACAAAAATGAAAGGAATGTTTTCCACTTTGAACATTTGTAAATGGTCTTCTTGTTTCCCCTTCTAGGTGGTGGTGAATGCTCTGGTGGGAGCCATTCCCTCAATCATGAATGTGCTGCTGGTCTGTCTCATCTTCTGGCTGATCTTTAGCATCATGGGTGTGAATCTGTTTGCTGGCAAGTTCTACCACTGTGTTAACATGACAACAGGCAACATGTTTGAAGTTAGTGAAGTCAACAATTTGAGTGATTGTCAAGCTCTTGGCAAGCAAGCTCGGTGGAAAAACGTGAAAGTAAACTTTGACAATGTTGGCGCTGGCTATCTTGCCTTGCTTCAGGTGGTAAGTGATATACCATATGAGTATTGACTACATTTTCAACATGTTTCAAGTAAGATCATCTCTCTGATGTTCTTCATTTGAGTGATCAATATTTGACAGTGGAAAGTAGATGATAACACATATAATATTAAGTTGACTCTAAAGATGTTGCTGTTGTTTATTACATTCCTAGTCTGCAACCTTTAGAATGTTTGAGCATAATTTCATATTTCTTCTTCCTTTTTTTTACTATTGAACACTACTTTCATTTTTAGTTTTCTTTAGCAATCATTGTCAAAAGAGAAATTTAGTATTAAAATGATAATCTATAAATTGTAGTAGTGATAATTTAAATGTACAAATTATTAACCAGATAATTTTATTGTAGCAATGTCTAAATAAATGTGATTGTGTCATGTGAGGAAATATAAATGTTATGGGATGGATTTCAAAATAATGTACTGTTTAATTTTCTTTTACTTCGATGGTAGTATATTATCTAACCAATGATTAGTAAAACTTGAGTTTTGTTTAAACCATGGGTTTGAATCATAAAGCTTACTCTTTGGTAAGAAAGGGATGTGAGACTGAGATGAAATTTTCATCCATCTAGCTAAATTCTAGTCTCTAGCTAAATTTTATTACAGAAAAAAAATTAGAATATCTTCTAAGAGAAATAAAGAAAACAAGTTCAAAGCTCTAAATACCAATCTTTTTCCATTTATTTTTTTATTCCATTCACTCCAATCTCTTCATAGAAAAATTCATATCGTGCCAAAATTTATTTGCAACAATATTTTCAGATTTTCATCTGGTATGATGCCATAGTCTTGGATGAGGTTTTTATGTGAAATTCAAATATATTTTGTTTACAGGCCACGTTTAAAGGCTGGATGGACATTATGTATGCAGCTGTTGATTCACGAGATGTAAGTGTTACTCAAATACTATCTGTTAATAGCTGCTATATGTTCCATAGTGACTATTGTTGATAATTCAACCGAGAGACCCAAAATTGTATGTTACATAAAATTAGAATATTTATTATTATATGTGGAAATGGTCTCTTAAAGCCAGTATACTATGATGGTTGATTGGTTGATAATTTTTTAATCTATGTCTAATATATAATACATATCTGTAATGAAAGGATATCTAACTGCATGGATTATGAGACATCAGATCAGTCCTGTAAGTGAGACTCCTCCACTCAGCAGTGATTGTCTCTCCCTGTCCCTGGAGAGTATATGATAAACCAGCCTGTGAAGCAACTTCCAAGAATATTATTATACAGAAAAGCAAGCAAGTTTCAGGAAAATGCATTTTCGAAAATAGAAATAAAAACAACTCCTCAGAACATAACTGTTTATGCTGTATTTCCCTCTTAAAAGTCAATGTTCTATTAAAGGTATATTTGAAAGAAGCAGCATTTCCAAAACCACACTGAAAAGATTGTCAAACATTATAAGACCAATAACAGGCTCAAAATGTTTGCCCTATTTATATCATTGTTATTTATGCTAAAAAATATGTTACATAAAGATATGTTACATTTTGTAAGACACAGTGGGGAAAAAGATTCAAGAAAACTGTAAAATTGGAAAATTTTCATGCTAATTTGAAAAAAGAATTGTTTTTCTAAAATAGTATCTTAAGACAAGGTAAAAGTGGCTCTATATTCAGTAAAAACCCTCACTACATTATTAATCTACTTTAATCATTCAATATTTTAATATTTTCAATATTATTTAGGTTAAACTTCAACCTGTATATGAAGAAAATCTTTATATGTATTTATACTTTGTCATATTCATCATCTTTGGATCTTTCTTCACTCTGAATCTATTCATTGGTGTCATCATAGATAACTTCAACCAGCAGAAAAAGAAGATAAGTATTTCTCAGCTTTTGCCGTTCTGAGTTTCTGTCTGTTCTATCACCAAGTAACCAGGATACCCACAGCCATGACTGCCTCAGACGACTGTGTTGTATTACTTTCAATTTACTACATGGTCAGCTAAGCTACTGCCCCAATCAGTGGCTCCCCTCCATTTAAGAGCTGCTGTGGTGTCTTTCTTACCCAAAAGTGTGACCACTAATGCAGATCTTTGGATCTCCCATTTGTCTTGTGGAGGCTTTTAGGAATTGCCTCCACTCATTTTTCTGACCTCATCTTCTCCCACATCTCATTCTCTGTAGCTACTACTCTGCTACCCAGTCACTCCCCACCTACCAGCTAATGCCACAAGGAGTTGCTACAGACACAGCTGATTTTCACTGACCTTTTCTGAGCAAATCATACCCTTGTATCTCCATGACTTTATCTGTGATATTTTCTCTTCCTGGGGTGTTTTGTACACCCAGGAACTCTTACTCATCCTTTAAGGCCTAGTTTAGGGCACTCTTCTATGTAAAGCTGTCTCAGAATTTATTATTGACTCTGCAGAACAATTTTTTCCCCAAATCACTATGCAGTTTTCCTCTATGTTTTCAGTTTCCTGCCCTGGTCAGATACAAGATGCTGTGTCTTTTTTTTTTTTTCCATAAGTACCAAGAATTGAACCAAGGGGTGCTTAACCACTGAGTCACATCCCCAACTGGTTTTTGTATTTCAGTTTGAGACAGGGTCTCATTAAGTTGCTCAAAATCTCACTAATTTGCTGAGGCTGGCTTTGAACTTGTGATTCTCCTGCTTCAGCCTCCCCCAGATAATGTGATTACAGGCATGTTCCACGAATGCCCTCACTGTGTCTTGTATATTTATGGAATACTAATAGCCAGTACACAGCTCAGCACACAAAAAGAGTTCAAAACAAATTGTTGAATAAGGCAGCGAACCTGTCAATAGTGAAATGGACTAATAAAACATACTTTGTTTCATGAAGATATATTTCAGATCCTTAAGCCTCCTTCTAAACAACATAATGTTAGGTCCCTGTGCTAATCAGAATTTTGTTTACTTATGGGATTTGCATAATATTAAAGTTTTCCAAATTTATCATAAATATGAGAAGCAGAAAGATTCTAGATGTAGTAGAATAATATCTTTTTTAAATTGAGAAAAATTAAAGGAAGACTTGGAAATATTTTGGTAAAGGTGCTATTGTGACACGTGTTGGGATTGTAACCAGTTTTGTACTATGTCTTTACTTTGGAGGTCAAGATATCTTTATGACAGAGGAACAGAAAAAATATTACAATGCAATGAAGAAACTTGGATCCAAGAAACCTCAGAAACCCATTCCTCGGCCTTCAGTGAGAATTATTCATAATCTTTGCAATTTCAAAGTTTCCGTATAATCTAATTGGGTAGTGCTCAGAATCAGAACTTTTGGGTGATGTCACCAATGTATAGATCTAATTATGAAGTTTATATTGTGTGTAAATTTCAACTGCTATACTCAATAACAATTGCCAAGTTCTTAAAGTAAGATAATATTCTTTATCTTTTACAAATTGAAAATCTCCAGATCAGGGTTCCCACTAATTGATTTCAAAGCAAGGTTCACCCTTCTGCTGCCACCGACCCATCTGGCTTGCTGTTCATCTGATCTTAAGTGGTACTCTCACATCCTCTTAAGTAGGTGGAGATTTCCAGCTGTCAAGGCCTCCTCCCTCTGTGCTCTTGGTTCTTGCATTCTTAAGACTAGAATATATTCCTACCCTATTTAGAATGGAAGAATGCCATCCAAGTTGTTTGTTGTTTCACTACATACACCAAAAAAGAAAAAAGCTTATTCATAATGCATATGCTAGAGCTTCATGATAATGGAATGTCATAATCATAAGTTATGTTGGCAGAACTGTATTCTAACTCATCTATCCTCTAAGATTGGTAACAAATAAGGAAACTGAGGCTCAAAGAAGATAATTATTGTATCCCAGGTCACAAGATGTGATTTCCAGAATTGGGACTTTGCAAGATCTCATGAATCCTATAAGTGATTTTGCTTTACAATACTTTTTAATAGTAATTGGATAATGTATACATGTACAAGTATGTAAAAACAAATCCTATTAGTATAAATAAATATAATGCACCAATAAAAATGTCAGAAAAAAGAATCATTGGAGCTCAGAGGTGTTAAGTAGGAGACAAAGGGACATAGAATACTGTACACAGAAGGGAATGAACCTACTTTACTGAAACTCATTTAAATTTGGAAGCAAGTCAGTTCATGACCTTTGTTTTTTGGTAAGCCATATAATTTTATGTTTTTATTCAACATCGTAAAAAACTTCTTTAAGTAGTAAAGCTGTATTTAACTACAATGTTAAAATAGGACTATTCGAAAGGATGTACTTCCTAAAATGACTGTAAATTAGACAAAAACAAAATTTTTCGTCATATAGGTTTACTGAGGCACAAGCAAAAAAAAGGATGAAGAGAAAAAGAAATGAATTAACAAACACATAGAAACATGAAATGGGAAAAAGTAGAATTGTATGGAAAAGTGACTGACTTATTTTGAAGAAGTAAAAAAGGTTTAACTGAAAATCCCTAAAAGGTTCATAAATGACCTAGAGTGTCTATCTATATAAAAATCTATCTATATTAACCTAATTTATAAGTTCTTATTACTAGTTGCCATTATTTTTTATAAAAATCATCATAGTTATTAGACTCAAGCAAAGTCTATGCATACTGTCAGCCAATTGCCACTCTTTTATGTCTAGTCATCTTTTTCTCTCCATGTGTTCTAAATGTAGAAATAAACCAAATGTGGGGGTCATGTGGTAGATAGATCGATATTAATAAGAATAATAATGGAGCACAAAGTGTTTAGGGTAATGTGAGTAGATACACATCTCATAACCATATGTGGAAAGAGTTTTCTCTATAATTTTAATGGATCATTATTTATGAAATGCATACATTAACCTCCTCTCCCTTCTCTCTTTCTAGAACAAATTCCAGGGAATGGTGTTTGATTTTGTAACCAGACAGGTCTTTGATATCAGCATCATGATCCTCATCTGCCTCAACATGGTCACCATGATGGTAGAAACTGATGACCAGAGCAAATACATGACTCTAGTTCTGTCCCGAATCAACCTCGTGTTCATTGTCCTGTTCACTGGGGAGTTTGTGCTGAAGCTCATCTCCCTCAGATACTACTACTTCACCATAGGCTGGAACATCTTTGATTTTGTAGTAGTGATTCTCTCCATTGTAGGTAAGAACATTTTAATTACAGAGGCACAGTTACAGTGAAACAGTTCCCCCAAGTCCTACCAGCTGCTTAACAGGGAAATTAGTTGTGATAAAAATAGATTATGTAGATCTCAAGTTCAGTGCTAACGAATTTGAATGAAAACTCTGAAACCTGGATGTATGGACAAAGTTGATAGTTAGAATCATGTTAGAAATACTGAATGGGGGATGGGTGGGGAGGATAGGAAACAAAAGTCATCATATTCTCATAGTCTTAAACAAAAATCACAGGCTGAGAGAAGAGTCTCTGAAAAGTCATCAAAATAGAATAGAGTTATACCATAAAAAGCTGAAGAAATGACCAGCACTGCTCAGAGGAGTTAACAGTTTTCCAAAAGTATGAGTGATGACATCTGAGACTTCCCTTGAAAGTAGGATTGAGTTTTAACAGGAGAAAAGAGAAGATATGGCATCATAGAACAATAAATTTAGAAAATTTGTATCAAATAGTGTTCATTTTTCTCTAACTAAAGAATGTCATTAAAAAATAGAGAACAGATGTATTTAGATGTTTCATAAGTAGTCTTTGAAATTTCCACAATTGATTTGTGGGGATAAGCGTTCATAGAAATTTGGGTTATATGATCTTAAATTGCCATGATAATATCTGAGATTATCTTAAAATTTTCAAAAGTCTATATTGGTTTATGATATTCTACAATCATTGTACTATTTAATTGCTAAAATCCAAGAGTATACAATTATTTAGTAAAGGTTTACATTCTGTTGTTTTCGCAGACTACACAGAGATAAGGCAATCATATAAGCACAATATATTCACTATTTAGCTCTGTTCTGTATTTTTACACAGGAATGTTTCTTGCTGAGCTGATAGAAAAATATTTTGTGTCCCCAACCCTGTTCCGAGTGATCCGTCTTGCCAGGATTGGCCGAATCCTACGTCTGATCAAAGGGGCTAAGGGGATTCGTACACTGCTCTTTGCTTTGATGATGTCCCTTCCTGCCTTGTTTAACATCGGCCTCCTGCTCTTCCTGGTCATGTTCATCTACGCCATCTTTGGAATGTCCAACTTTGCCTATGTTAAGAAGGAAGCTGGAATTGATGACATGTTCAACTTTGAGACCTTTGGCAACAGCATGATCTGCCTGTTCCAAATCACCACCTCTGCTGGCTGGGATGGATTGCTGGCACCTATTCTCAATAGTGCCCCACCTGACTGTGACCCTGACGCAATTCACCCTGGAAGTTCAGTTAAAGGAGACTGTGGGAACCCCTCTGTTGGGATTTTCTTTTTTGTCAGTTACATCATCATATCCTTTCTGGTCGTGGTGAACATGTACATCGCTGTCATCCTGGAGAACTTCAGTGTTGCTACTGAAGAAAGTGCAGAGCCCCTGAGTGAGGATGACTTTGAGATGTTCTATGAGGTTTGGGAGAAGTTTGATCCTGATGCAACCCAGTTCATAGAGTTCTCCAAGCTCTCTGATTTTGCAGCTGCCTTGGATCCTCCTCTTCTCATAGCAAAACCAAACAAAGTCCAGCTCATTGCTATGGACTTGCCGATGGTCAGTGGAGACCGGATCCATTGCCTCGACATTTTATTTGCTTTTACAAAGCGTGTTTTGGGTGAGAGTGGAGAGATGGATGCCCTTCGAATACAGATGGAAGATAGGTTCATGGCATCGAACCCCTCCAAAGTCTCTTATGAGCCTATCACTACCACTTTGAAGCGCAAGCAAGAAGAGGTGTCGGCTGCTATCATTCAGCGTAATTTCAGATGCTATCTTTTAAAGCAAAGGTTAAAAAACATATCAAGTAAATATAACAAAGAAACAATCAAAGGGAGGATTGACTTACCTATAAAAGAAGGCATGGTTATTGACAAATCAAATGGGAATTCCACCCCAGAGAAAACAGATGGAAGTTCCTCTACCACTTCTCCTCCTTCCTATGATAGCGTTACAAAACCAGACAAAGAAAAGTTTGAGAAAGACAAGCCAGAAAAAGAAAGCAAAGGGAAAGAAGTCAGAGAAAATCAAAAGTAAAAAAGAAACAAAGCATTATCTTTGTAATCAATTGTTTACAGCCTATGAAGGTATAGTGTGTGTGTCAACTGGACTCCAGAGGAGGTCCTTGCCAAACTGACTGTTGTAACAAATACTCATGGTCAGTGCCTATACACGACAGTGACCTCTCTGTCACTGCAACTCTGTGAGACAGGGTATCCACATTGACAAGAGGTTGCTGCTTCATTACCAGCTGACACTGCTGAGGAGGACTCAACGGCTACCTAGACCACAGGGAAAGCTGTGCAAAGTGATCGTTGTGACTACACCAAACACCTTTAGTAGAGTACTCGCATCTGCTCTATTTTTAACTTCCATATCTGCCATATTTTTACAAAATTTGTTCTAGTGGATTTCCCTGGTCCTTGATTCATAGTTTATTCATAATATTATGTCACTATTTTTGTAAATGAGGTTTATGTTGAGGGAAAATTATATAAGAGCTCTGTGTTCCTACTCCATAAGTCTCTTAAATAATCAGACAAAAATATTTTGCCTGAGCTGGGCGTGGTGGCACATGCCTGTATTCCGAGTGACTGGGGGAGGCTGAAGCAGGAGGATCACACGTTCAAGACCAACCTCAGCATGTAGCGAGGCTCTAGGCAACTTAGTGAAACCCTGTCTCAAAATAAAAAATAAAAAGGGCTGGGGATATGGCTTGGTGGTTAAGTGCCCCTGGGTTAAATCCCCAGTAACAAAAAATAATAATAATATTTTTTTTTTTTGCCTGATGAAATCCTTGCTCAAAACCAGAAAAAAAAAATTCTGATGTTCACAGTTTCAAGTACTTCCATTTTCTAGATGCTTTAATTTAAAAAGTGTTTTAGTCTGTTATGTTTGTTTACATCTGAACAGTTATGTGCCTGTAAAGTGTCCTCTAATATTTAAAGGATTATTTTTATGCAAAGTATTCTGTTTCAGCAAGTGCAAATTTTATTCTAAGTTCCAGAGATCTATATTTAATTTTGGTTAAATGCTTTCCAAAAAAAAGTAATCTAATAAATCTGTTCTAGAAAAGTATATCTAAAGTATGACTTTAGAGTAGTTCCACTTCCTGCTGCAGTATTGCTTTGCTATCTTCTGCTCTCAGCAAAGCTGACAGTTTATGTCAATTAAATACCCTCTTTTATGTAAATAGTTATTTTATCCTGTGGTGCATGTTTGGGCAAATATATACACATATATAGCCCAATAAACAACTTATATTAAATTAAATATGTACCACAGTTTATGTGTCTTTTGCGAGCTTCCAACAGGGATGTAACCTGTTCACTCATTACACATAAATAGTTTGAAGGCTATCACTAATGCATGTCAATATTGCCTATGCTGCTCTATTTTACTCGATCCATTCTTCACGAGTCTTGGTTAGAAGTCACATGTTGGTGGTAGAATGAAGTCAACCAGCTCTGTCTACATGTCAAGCATAATAATAGATTGAAGTTATTAAAAGACTCCTTTACTTTCGCATTTTTTAATTCAACTTGAGTATCATACAGTGTCTCTCTCAATTTCAATGAAACAAACTGCGTATAGCCTATTGTCATATTCATATTTTGCTAAAAGTATGTCCAAAACTTGTTAAAATATAAATAATGTAAAAATATGATCAATTTTATTTGTCAACATTTTGTACATAAGAAAATTATTTTCAGGTTGATGACATGGCAATTTATTTTACTTTATGCTTTTGCTTTTTATTTATAATCATAATTCCAAACTTTTGAATCCACAAGACTTTTCAATAGATAATTTCCTAAAATAAAAGTTAGACAATGGGTTTTTTGGATTTCTTTGTTATACTATATTTTCTACCATTCCAATAGGAAATACATTGGTCAAAAACTCAAACCTAGACCATTTTCTACCAACAATGGTTGCCTCAAAATAACCCTTCATTCATGGAATTTTTTTTTAACTTAACTTTTGTAGTATTTGCATATGCAGACTAGGCTTATTTTTTTAATTCCTGCTGCACTAAAGTTATTACAGATATAACTCTGTCCTTTTAAGCCATGAACAAGTGGCAAAGTTGTGCAATTACCTAACATGTTATAAATTTTTGTTTTTTGCACAAACCAAAACTTTAATGTTAACTACTTTTACAAAACTATTTATTGTAGTGTATTGATGAACTGCATGCAGGGGATTGCTATTACTAAAAAAGAATGGTGAGCTACTTCATTATTGAGCCAAAAGAATAAATATTTCATTTTTTTATTGTATTTCATTTGTTTGCCTCTGATTGTTTTTATTGTTGGCTGTTTAAAATATATATAATTAATGAAACATGTTATTGATCTGATATGAGTACATGAAAGTTCACATGAATTTTCTAATAACCTACTACACGGTCCACCAAGAAGTTCCTCAGAAGAAGGCTGGTTAAAAGCATTTTTATAAACTTTTATGGGTGCAAAGTATTAAGCCCATATATTCTACTTCCAGGTTTGATAATAATAGTAGCCACCAACAATGGCTGATGGTTCCAATAAATTCCTTTGGCTATAAACATTTGAATCTCAGTTTTCTAGATTTACTTGATGCCATCTCCTATTTTCTTTAATATTTTTTTAGTTGTCTATGGATCTTTATTTTATATGTGGTGGGAGAATCAAAACCAGGGCCTCACACATGCTAGACAAGTGCTCTACCAGCCCCTCCTATTTCCTTGATGACTAACAAATATTACATTCTTTCTTATTAAATACACTCTGAATTTTATCTATACATAAAGTATTAATGATACAAAGATTAAGAATTTATGTTAATTTTTTCCACATCCCTTGGATTTATGTCAGGTCAAAAACAAACTTTTATTCTCAACGGAAAATTCAAGTTGTTAATGCATATTTTTAAGACAACTTGGATCTAAATATGTATTTCATAATTTCCCCCAAATATTATATAAAGTGACTAACTGGAATTCATTGGCTTCTTTATGCTCAAGCCAATTTAAGATTTCACAGATTCCACAGAGAAGCCAAATATTGCTTTGCAAAATCTTCAGCCTTTCTATGAATACTGTTACATAATCACTAGCTAATTTATATGTGAACTATTAATTAGTATGTATTATAAATAAATCATCATCTCTGAAAAAAAGTCAGAAGAGGCTTTAGCTGAAAAGACAGAATACTTTTTAAATATACGTATCTAGCAAAAGGCTAGTATTGTTCGGGATGTAGAGCTGCTGATATAATTTTATAGATTTTTTTTAAATAACTGCTTCCACCAAAAATATACTTCTATCACTATAATTCTGTCAAGGTGGCTGTAGTAATAATACTATGAAATTGAAGAAATTTAATTTCACCAATAAGTAACACTAAATAGCTGTTTGGTACCAAAAACAAACAAAGGTTTTTATTGGGGAAGAAATGGATATCCTTGTTTTTATGTATGTAGCCAAAAGATAATTACTATGTAAATTTATGCACTACACTAACTTTCAAATAACTGGTACATAATAATGTAACGTGGAGACCATTTTTGTGTGTTTAAAACCAGGCAGGGACTGGAGAAGATGGCGGCGAGGGGAGTGCATTGCCCCCGTGTGCTGCTTCACTGTGTGGGAGTATGACAAGTCAGGACGGCTAAAGGCTATCTTGTTAGGAATTTCCAGCAATAGTGAGGAGCTCCGGAACCTAGAGGAAGGATTTCCATCGCACGAGGATCGGCTACGGGGACTCAAACGCGAGAGGTTTGTCGCACGGAGGGTAACACTGCTTATTCAGCAAATCGCCCCGTGGCTAGAGTCTGCAGCGCGCGCTGGGAAACAAGGAGATAGCGACGCAGGGATACAGCGCTGCAGTTTCTGCTAGCCGTGCAAGCACCGTACTCAGGGCTGAATTCTGGGTTCGAGACGGGGGAAGGAAGCGGTCCATCTCGGTTATCCACACCGGTCAGACCACAGAGGAGGCCAGCAGCCACCATGTTGGAAAGCTGACGTCACCATTCCTGTTTTCGACTGACCGCAGCTCATTCAGCCATAGAACAGGTAATTTCAGGCTGCCATTCGCCTGCGGCTTGCAGACAGATTGCTAGGGTTCAGTGCCTGGGTGCTTCTTAGAACCTGATCTTATCGGAGCGAACACCAAGCGCGGGGCGGCCGAATTCCGGCTCCCGGAACCGCCCTAGCCCAGGGCTGCGGAGCCTGCCGAGGCTGCTTCTTGGACCCTGCTCCTATCAGAGCATACACCAAGCACTAAGCGGCCGAATTCCGGCTCCCGGAACTGAGCCCGTGGGGACTGCTTCTTGGAGCCTACCCTTATAGGAGCTTACACCGAGCACGGAGCGGATGAGTTCCGGCTTCCGGAACTTCCCTGGCCCGGGGCTAGGAGCCTGCGGAAACTGCTTCTCAGTCCAGGTCCTGCTGAGGGCCAGTCAGGACTCACCCGTTGCTTTGGTTGCCCGGCAAGGGGAACGAAATGCTGCCATTCGCATAGGATACCAACATGGCAGAGATCTGATGTCATCAGAAAGCGGCGGAGGAGAGAACTTCATCAATACCAGCGGCTACAGAAAAAGTTGGTCTCCTGGTAGGGGGGGGCGAGGCAGAGACACCCGAGTCTCCTCAATTTGTCGTTGAGCCAGAGGGGAGGAGCTGGGCAGCCGCCAGCGCCCGGAGCAGGCCCAGTGGCTCGCCAGCGTGGTGACCGCGTGACCCCAATTGGAGAGGGGGTGGAGAGGAGCCGCCACCGGCACCTGCAAGGTGGGCAGACCTGCGACCCAGGGTACATGGGCGTGGTAGGAGGGGCAGGGCAGAGCCGCCATTCACGCTTGCAAGGTAAACAGACCTGTGACAGCCTGGCGGGTCAGGCCCAGTGGCCTGCCAGTGTGGTACACACGTCACCCCAACTGGAGTAGGGGCAGAGCAGATCCTTCTCCCACGCCTGGATCAGGCCCTGACGGTGTGGTGGCCACGTGACCCCAATTGGAGTGGGGGCGGAGCGGAACCGCCACCCGTGCCCGCGGGGTGAGCAGACCTGTGACCAACCTGCAGATCAGGCCCAGGGGTCCGCAGGCGTGGTAGGAGGGGCAGGGCAGATCCGCCGCCCGCGCCTCCAAGGTAGGCAGACCTGCAACAGACCGGCGGATCAGGCCCAGGAGACTGCTGGCGTGGTACACACACCACCCTAATTGGAGTAGGGGCAGAGCAGAGTCACCGCCCGTGCCAGGAACAGGCCCAGCGTCCTGCAGGCGGGGTAGTCACCACACCCCAATTGGAGTAGGGGCAGAGCAGAGCCTCCACCCATGCCCGAAAGGTGGGCAGATCTGCGACTGACCAGTGGGACAGGCCCAGTGGCCTGCCGGTACGACAGACACGTCACCCCATTTGGAGTAGGGGCAGAGTAGAGCCGCCGCCAGTGCCTGCAGGGTAGGCAAACCTGCAACCGACCGGCAGATCAGGCCCGGTGGCCTGCCGGCATGGTACACTCGTCACCCCAATTGGAGTAGGGGCAGAACAGAGCCGCCGCCAGCCCCCAGAACAGGCCCAGTGACCTGCCGGCGTGGTAGCCACGACACCCCAATTGGAATAAGGAGAGAGCAGAGCCGCCACCCATGCCTGCAGGAAAGATACGCAAGCAGTATGAAAAGACAAGGAAAGAAAGGACCACAAGCAATGCAGGTCAACGCAACTTTAGAAGAGGTAACAGCTGCAGCAGATGGAATGTCAGATAAAGAATTCAGGATATACATGCTTCAGATGATCTGGAGTATCAAGGAAGACATTAAACAGCAAAATCAGACAATGAAAGATCACTTCGACAATGAATTACGCAAACAAATCCAGGAAGCAAAGGATCAACTATACAGGGAGATAGAGGTTATAAAAAACAAACAAACAGAAATCCTAGAAATGCAGGAAGCAATAAACCAACTTAAAAACTCAATGGAGAATACTACCAGCAGAGTAGAACACTTAGAAGATAGAACATCAGACAATGAAGACAAAGTATTTCAACTGGAAAAGAACATAGACAGCTCAGCAAGACTGTTAAGAAACCATGAGCAGAACATCCAAGAAATATGGGATAACATTAAGAGACCAAACTTAAGAGTCATTGGGATACAGGAAGGTACAGAGCTCCAAACCAAAGGAATGAGCAGTCTATTCAATGAAATATACGAGAAAACTTCCCAGACTTGAAGAATGAGACAGAATCCCAAATCCTAGAAGCCTACAGGACACCGAATGTGCAAAATCATAAGAGATCCGCACCTAGACACATTATAATGAAGATGCCCAACATACAGAATAAGGAGAGAATTTTAAAAGCTACAAGAGAAAGGAAGCAGATTACATTTAGGAGTAAGCCAACAGGATAACAGCCGATCTTTCAACACAGACTCTGAAAGCTAGAAGATCCTGGATAACATATTTCAAACACTGAAAGAAAATGGGTTCCAACCAAGAATTGTGTATCCAGCGAAATTAAGCTTCAGGATGGAAGATGAAATTAAACCCCTCCACGATAAACAAAAGTTTAAAGAATTTGCAGCTAGAAAACCATCTCTTCAAAACATCCTCGCCAAAACATTACAGGAAGAGGAAATGGAAAATAACAATGAAAACCAACAGTGGGAGGTAGGACAGTAAAGGGGGGAAAATAATCAAAGAGGAAAACAAACCATGTTTAGTAACATAAATAAACAAATATGGCTGGAAGAACAACCCATATCTCAATAATAACCCTAAATGTTAATGGCTTAAACTCACCAATTAAGAGACACAGGCTGGTAGAATGGATCACAAAACAAGACCCAACAATATGCTGCCTACAGGAGACACATTTGATAGGAAAAGACATACATAGGCTGAAGGTGAAAGGTTGGGAAAAATCATATCACTCATATGGACTTCGGAAACAAGCAGGAGTGTCCATACTCATATCAAATAAAATAGATTTCAAGCCAAAGTTAATCAAGAGGGATAAAGAGGGACACTACATACTGCTTAAGGGAACCATACACCAACAACACATAACAATCATAAATATTTATGCCCCAAACAATGGTGCAGCTATGTTCGTCAAACAAACTCTTCTAAAGTTCAAGAGTCTAATAGACCACCATACCATAATCATGGGAGACTTCAACACACCTCTCTCGCCACTGGACAGATCTTCCAAACAAAAGTTGAATAAGGAAACTATAGAACTCAATAACACAATTAATAACCTAGACCTAATTGACATATATAGAGTATACCACCCAACATCAAGCAGTTACACTTTTTTCTCAGCAGCACATAGATCCTTCTCAAAAATAGACCATATATTATGTCACAGGGCAACTCTTAGACAATATAAAGGAGTAGAGATAATACCATGCATCTTATCTGATCATAATGGAATGGAACTGAAAATCAACGATAAAAGAAGGAAGGAAAAAGCATACATCACTTGGAGAATGAACAATAGGTTACTGAATGATCAATGGGTTATAGAAGACATCAAGGAGGAAATTAAAAAATTCTTAGA